AAGCGAACGTTCTAACCACTAGGCCACACGCCCAATGAAATTTATATATACACATATGCACACACACACACACACACACACACACACACACACACACACACACACACACATATATATATATATACATAAATATATATATACATAAATATATATAGACTCTCACATATGCACACATATACATATATACATACACACATATATATATGTACAAACATTCACATATATACACACATATATATAACATATCTGTTTACAGACATACACAAATATATATATGTACGCACATATATATATGTACGCACCATATATGTGTGTGTGCGTGTATGTGTGTGTGTGTGTGTGCGTGTGTACACATACGCACACATATATACAAACAACAAATCCCACAGGTAGGATATTAACTTCACTCAAATTTAAAAATCTTTTCACCAACATTCTGATTGCAGGAACATTCAGCATAATTAGTGACTGCATCTAAAAGCACCCATCAACCCATACTCCCCAAATCGAAAACTAGTCAACGCCAGTACCACGTGTTCTTCCTAAAATTAGTGTAGCATGAATCAGAAGTAAATCTAACTTCCGCCAATGGCCGGATGTGAACACTCTGAATTAACCAAAACTGAACTAAAATTCTGTCAATTAAAATGACTAAAGTGGCCAAAGGCGCTTTGGAAAATCGACGATATAGATTCTCCCCAAGTGGAAAATGTAAGAACGCTGGAAAAACTAAATAAAAATTTAGCCAAGAGGTGTAGACATAATAGTGCTCAATGTAATTAGGCAGAGCTAAGAAATATATACATTAATAAATACACATATACCTACGTTTGGTGTGCGACTCGAGTTTTGTTGGTCACCCAGCGGGCACGAGATGTAGCTTATTGTTTATTTTTTAAAAAGTGTACAGATTCTGATGGGATGGACGCTGTTCAAAGTATGGAGAAAAAAGTATCTGCTTATGATCCAAAGCGTATATATATATATGTGTGTGTGTGTGTGTGTGTGTGTGTGTTTGTGTGTGTGTGGGCAAATATATAGAAAAATAGGAAAGAACACGTTAGGTTAATAATCCGAAGTTCTTTAGTATTTTTGTTTTTATTTTTAAGAAACAGTGCTCAATACAAAAGTAGAGCCTAAATATCTCTATCTATAAAATGCAGGAAGTGTGTGTGTGTGTGTGTGTGTGTGTGTGTGTAACGAATGCACGGCCGCAATTTTCGACGGATTTGCACCAAAATTTACATGCACATGCTCCAAGTTAGCTCCAAGACCGACTTTGCATTTCCCAACTCCCATCGATAGTGGAAATAATCGATTTTTTCATGCTTTTACGGCAATTTTCATGTAGTTTGCGGCCATTTTCTACTGGCCAGAGTGAGAGCCTATAGCTGGCTGCCACGAATAGGCAGGAAGATTCTATTGGCCAGCGTGAGAGCCAATAGCTGACTGACACGAATATTAACTAGCATGCTAGCATGCAAAAAAAAAAAAAAAAAAATCGATAGCTGCATTCGTCACAAGTGGGAAAAATTTAAATCTGCATGGCACTTTACTCGAATTGGCTCATTCGCTTGCTTAAACTCAACGTTGATTCTGATTCCGCAGAACTGGGTTGGGTGTGAAAATTTATTTATTAACATTCTTTTTTTTCATTCAATTTTTTCCAGTTACGATGTTTTCCTTTTTAAAGCTGATCGTTTTGTGTTCATTTTGTTTAGTTCTTTTTTCGTAACAGATTTAATGTTTAGTATAGAGCTTAGATAAAAAATTTGCAGTGTGAGATAGGCAAGAAGTAAGGCATGTAGCAACATCAGCACAGCAAAGGGCACTCCTTTAAAGGCAAGGAAGGGCAAAAATATTTTAAGTCAAGTGATAGCGATTGCTGTATGAGTCGTATGATTTTTGAATCAAGCACGGGCAACGCCGTGCCATGCTGCATATATATATATATATTTGTGTATTTAGGCAGCAATCCTTCTTTCATGCACATTTCATTGAATACGACAGACAAGGTGCTTTTATTTAGATTTTATACAATTTCTCATGCAATCTAATATTTTCTTATTTTCAGATGATAAATTATATAAAAACTGTCCGAATGTTCTTTTACACACACACACACACACACACACACACACACACACACACACACACACACACACACACACACACACACACACACACATATTCCTTTCAAACTTTACAGCGTCAAATACATGGACGAGGAGACACATCCAACAGTAACGAACAACAAACGCCAATATCTAATTTAATAATTATACCAAGATGATATATAAAAACATTAATGCAAGGTAGTGCTTGGAAAGATGTTTGCCATACATTTCTGTGTGGAAAGTTGAATGACATGCGTTATACAGGGTGACCCCCAAAAACTAATAAAACCAAGAGTGATGGAAGAAAAATATTTTATTCATAGTATTTTAAACCTTAAAACATGCCATTTAAGAAACAATGACGGAATTATTAAAAATTACGTCCTCTAGATGGCGTCCTCCTGTACGGGTGCATTCTTGAAATCTGCTGTTGAGATTCCTCATTGACTGCTGCAACATCTCAGCTGGGATACTGTTTACACAACTCGACCAAGAACTCTGGATGTGTTAAAACAGAGAATTCAAGATGAAATTTTATCAGCTGAGATGGAAAAAACATCAAAGGAATTCAACAGCAGATTTTTCATCAATATTACAGGTTTCAGTGCAAAGGCCTATTGAGGACCTTCCAATTCGAACATTTTTATTCTGACGTACGTGGCGTTTTATAGTACTGATCCTGCTTGATGTAATAAATATGATTACACCTGTGTTCCCCCTCACAGGAATATGATTGGCTGGTGTCAGATATAAATACAGGCTGATGTAGAGGACGACACCTATTGGACTAAGCCATTGGTTATCCTATTAGTCTACGCCTATTGCCTACACCTACTGACTGCGACTACGACGAGTACCAGTTCCATTACTGCTATCTGTTAGATTGTTCTACTCGGTTACAGTAGCCTAAACCACTTAGCTATTTCGATCAAATATATCACAGGATTTTGTCAGCCACGATGGCAGTAAAGTGCTCGGGAACGAAAAGAATGTTTCACGCGAAGTAGCGTTCGTCGCCGTTCAGAGTAGTGATCTCATGGCGTGTAAGGCATTCAATATTTGTCTTTTCCAACAATCAATAGAATATTAGTGGCTGTCCGCTGCTAATTGTATAGTCTTTCAAATCACATCGTTATATCTCTCACTTTGACCGTTATGCTGATGCTTATATAGGGTAGTCCTACTAGTAGCTCTTTCTTGATCAGGCATAAAGGCGTTCGCATTGCCGAGTGAATATAGGCAGGTAACCCGAAGAAGGAGAAGAGGGTCTGGATTACTGTTGTAGCAGTGACATTAGTCAGAGGATCGCAAATGGAAAGTACAAGTAATCGTTTATTATTGTTAATAGATTTTTTTTTAGATTTAGATGGGAGTGATCCCTTGAAATTCAGGGAAAGCCTTTTATATGGTTGCATGGTTTTTTCCCGTGTCGAGTCTATAAAATTTTGGTTTTAGTTCAGTATATGTCCGGCATTCCCTTGTAGTTTCTTTTACAAATTCCACTGAGAAAGGTAAGTTTCTAATATGAATCAAATTTAGCGTTCTTGTTACATCCAGTGTAATAGATCTTTGTGTAGTTTAAATATGCCTTCTTTACAGCTTATCATGCTGCATATTCTTGAAAGTGCGTCTTAGCGAGGATAAGTTATCAGGAATCGGTAGTTTTAAAAGGGTTCTTAAATATTGCGGGTCAGATTTCATATATTTCTGACTAACGATATAGACATCGATTTAATTTTGTCCTGCCTAGTCCAGTATCAAATTGTATTAGGTTTTTGTCGTGTTTGTTACAGGTCATGTCCATATATCGTCACTTTGTCAATGTAGGCGAACGTACCATTTAGTTGCTCTTTCACGATTATTTAATCTATGATTATTTGGAAGCAGACGACCCCATAAATTACGCCAAATGGGATCTTGCGAAACCTATACAAACAGCCACCAGCTTCAAAAGATGTGTATGGCCCATCGCAGGTAAAATAGCAACTTGATGATAAGAGCTTCGTAGATCGAAACTGCATTTCCATATATAATATATTTTCCATATAAAATCAAAAGAAAGTATAAATAAATTTTGATTTTCAATAAAAAAAACATAAAATCAGAAGAAAATATGAACGATCTCACATTTCCTATAAAAGTATAAAAATAGGAAGAAAATATGAATTAATTTGCATTTTGTACAAAAGAACATAAAATCGGAAGAAAATATGGACGATTTTGTATTTTTACAAAAGAGTATAAAACTGGAAGAAAATAGGGATGATTTTGCATTTGTAGAATGGAACAAAATCGGAAGAAAATATGGAAAATTTGCATTTTGTACAAAAAAATATAAAATCGGAAGAAAATGTGGATGAATTTGTATTTTTTACAAAAGAACATAAAATAGGAAGAAAATATGGATGAATTTGCATTTTGTACAAAAGAACATAAAATCAGAAATAAATATGAAAGAATTTGCATTTTGGAAAAAAGAATAGAAAATCGGAAGAAAATATGAAAGAAATTTGCATTTTGTACAAAAGAATAGAAAATCGGAAGAAAATATGAAAAATTTGCATTTTTACAAAAGAACATAAAATCAGAAGAAAATATAAAAGAATTTGCATTTTCAGCAACAAAAAAAATGAAAAAATCGGAAGAAAATATGGATGAATTTGCATTTTGTACAAAAGAATAGAAAATCAGAAGAAAATATGAATGAATTTGCATTTTGTACAAAAGAATATAAAATCGGAAGAAAATATGGATGAATTTGCATTTTGTACAAAAGAATAGAAAATCGGAAGAAAATATGAAAAAATTTGCATTTTGTACAAAAGAACATAAAATCAGAAGAAAATATGGATGAATTTGCATTTTGTACAAAAGAATAGAAAATCAGAAGAAAATATGAATGAATTTGCATTTTGTACAAAAGAATATAAAATCAGAAGAAAATATGAAAGAATTTGCATTTTGTACAAAAGAACATAAAATCGGAAGAAAATATGGATGAATTTGCATTTTGTACAAAAGAATAGAAAATCGGAAGAAAATATGAAAAAATTTGCATTTTGTACAAAAAGAACATAAAATCGGAAGAAAATATGGATGAATTTGCATTATGTACAAAAGAATAGAAAATCGGAAGAAAATATGAAAAAATTTGCATTTTGTACAAAAGAATATAAAATCAAGAAAATATGAAAGAATTTGCATTTTGTACAAAAGAACATAAAATCGGAAGAAAATATGGATGAATTTGCATTTTGTACAAAAGAATAGAAAATCGGAAGAAAATATGAAAGAATTTGCATTTTGTACAAAAGAATAGAAAATCGGAAGAAAATATGAAAGAATTTGCATATTGTACAAAAGAACATAAAATCGGAAGAAAATATGGATGAATTTGCATTTTGTACAAAAGAATAGAAAATCGGAAGAAAATATGAATGAATTTGCATTTTGTACAAAAGAACATAAAATCAGAAGAAAATATGAAAGAATTTGCATTTTGTACAAAAGAAATTGAAATCGGAAGAAAATATGGATGAATTTGCATTTGTTCAAAAGAACATAAAATCGGAAGAAAATATGAATGAATTTGCATTTTGTACAAAAGTACAGAAAATCGGAAGAAAATATGGACGATTTTGTATTTTTTACAAAAGACTATAAAATTGGAAGAAAATAGGGATGATTTTGAATTAGTAGAATGGAACATAAAATCGGAAGAAAATATGGATGAATTTGCATTTTGTACAAAAGGCCATGAAATCGGAAGAAAATATGGAAGAATTTGCATTTTGTACAAAAGAACATTAAATCGGAAGAAAATATGGATCAATTTGCATTTTGTACAAAAGAACATAAAATGGGAAGAAAATATGGATTAATTTGCCTTTTGTACAAAAAAAAAACAAAATCAAAAGAAAATATGAATGAATTTGCATTTTGTACAAAAGGCCATGAAATCGGAAGAAAATAAGGATGAATTTGCATTTTGTACAAAAGAACATAAAATCGGAAGAAAATATGGATGAATTTGCATTTTGTACAAAAGAACATAAAATCGGAAGAAAATATGGATCAATTTGCATTTTGTACAAAAGAACATAAAATCGGAAGAAAATATGGATCAATTTGCATTTTGTACAAAAAAAAACAAAATCAAAAGAAAATATGAATGAATTTGCATTTTGTACAAAAGGCCATGAAATCGGAAGAAAATATGGATGAATTTGCATTTTGTACAAAAGAACATAAAATCGGAAGAAAATATGGATCAATTTGCATTTTGTACAAAAGAACATAAAATCGGAAGAAAATATGGATGAATTTGCATTTTGTACAAAAGAATAGAAAATCGGAAGAAAATATGAAAGAATGAAAAATTTTGTACAAAAGAAAAAAATCGGAAGAAAATATGAAAGAATTTGCATTTTTTACAAAAGAACATAAAATCGGAAGAAAATATGAAATGAATTTGCATTTTGTACAAAAAGAACATAAAATCGGAAGAAAATATGGATGAATTTGCATTTTGTAAAAAGGCCATGAAATCGGAAGAAAATATGGATGAATTTGCATTTTGTACAAAAGAACATAAAATCGGAAGAAAATATGGATCAATTTGCATTTTGTACAAAAGAACATAAAATCGGAAGAAAATATGGATGAATTTGCATTTTGTACAAAAGAACATAAAATCGGAAGAAAATATGGATGAATTTGCATTTTGTACAAAAGAACATAAAATCGGAAGAAAATATGGATGAATAGCCATTTTGTTGAAAAACAAACAGCAAAAAATCGGAAGAAAATATGGATCAATTTGCATTTTGTACAAAAAAAACAAAATCAAAAAAGAAAATATGAATGAATTTGCATTTTGAATAGAAAACAAAAGAATAGAAAATCGGAAGAAAATATGAAAGAATTTGCATTTTGTACAAAAGAATAGAAAAAATCGGAAGAAAATATGAAAAAATTTGCATTTTGCCTAGCGCCAAAAAGAACATAAAATCAGAAGAAAATATGAAAAGAATTTGCATTTTGTACAAAAAGAACATAAAATCGGAAGAAAAAATGGATGAATTTGCATTTTGTACAAAAAGAACATAAAATCGGAAGAAAATATGAATGAATTTGCATTTTTACAAAAAAGAACATAAAATCGGAAGAAAAATATGGATCAATTTGCATTTTGTACAAAAAAAAAACAAAATCAAAAGAAAATATGAAAGAATTTGCATTTTGTACAAAAGAATAGAAAATCGGAAGAAAATATGAAAGAATTTGCATTTTGTACAAAAGAATAGAAAATCGGAAGAAAATATGAAAGAATTTGCATTTTGTACAAAAGAACATAAAATCGGAAGAAAATATGGATGAATTTGCATTTTGTACAAAAGAACATAAAATCGGAAGAAAATATGGATCAATTTGCATTTTGTACAAAAGGCCATGAAATCGGAAGAAAATATGGATGAATTTGCATTTTGTACAAAAGAACATAAAATCGGAAGAAAATATGGATGAATTTGCATTTTGTACAAAAGAACATAAAATCGGAAGAAAATATGGATGAATTTGCATTTTGTACAAAAGAACATAAAATCGGAAGAAAATATGGATGAATTTGCATTTTGTACAAAAGAACATAAAATCGGAAGAAAATATGGATCAATTTGCATTTTGTACAAAAGAACATAAAATCGGAAGAAAATATGGATCAATTTGCATTTTGTACAAAAAAAAACAAAATCAAAAGAAAATATGAATGAATTTGCATTTTGTACAAAAGAATAGAAAATCGGAAGAAAATATGAAAGAATTTGCATTTTGTACAAAAGAATAGAAAATCGGAAGAAAATATGAAAAAATTTGCATTTTGTACAAAAGAAGATAAAATCAGAAGAAAATATGAAAGAATTTGCATTTTGTACAAAAGAACATAAAATCGGAAGAAAATATGGATGAATTTGCATTTTGTACAAAAGAATAGAAAATCAGAAGAAAATATGAATGAATTTGCATTTTGTACAAAAGAATATAAAATCAGAAAAAAAATATGAAAAATGGATGAATTTGCATTTTGTACAAAAAGAACATAAAATCGGAAGAAAATATGGATGAATTTGCATTTTGTACAAAAAACATAAAAATAGAAAATACAAAAGAACATAAAGAAGAAAATATGGATCAATTTGCATTTTGTACAAAAGAATATAAAATCGGGAAGAAAATATGGATCAATTTGCATTTTGTATAAAAGAACATAAAATCGGAAGAAAATATGGATGAATTTGCATTTTGTAGAAAAAGAATAGAAAATCGGAAGAAAATATGAAAGAATTTGCATTTTGTACAAAAGAATAGAAAATCGGAAGTACAAAAAAATATGAAAGAATATTTGCATTTTGTACAAAAGAACATAAAATCGGAAGAAAATATGGATGAATTTGCATTTTGTACAAAGAAAACATAAAATCGGAAGAAAATATGGATGAATTTGCATTTTGTACATAAAAAACAAAATCAAAAGAAAATATGAATGAATTTGCATTTTTACAAAAAAGAACATGAAATCGGAAGAAAATATGGATGAATTTGCATTTTGTACAAAAGAACATAAAATCGGAAGAAAATATGGATGAATTTGCATTTTGTACAAAAAGAACATAAAATCGGAAGAAAAATATGGATGAATTTGCATTTTGTACAAAAGAACATAAAATCGGAAGAAAATATGGATCAATTTGCATTTTGTACAAAAGAACATAAAATCGGAAGAAAATATTGATGAATTTGCTTTTTGTACAAAAGAACATAAAATCGGAAGAAAATATTGATGAATTTGCATTTTGTACAAAAGAACATAAAATCGGAAGAAAATATGGATGAATTTGCATTTTGTACAAAAAGAACATAAAATCGGAAGAAAATATGGATCAATTTGCATTTTGTACAAAAAGAACATAAAATCGGAAGAAAAAATATTGATGAAAAATTTGCATTTTTGTACAAAAAAAAGAAAACATAAAATCATTTTGTACAAAAAAGAAAATATGGATGAATTTGCATTTTGTACAAAAGAACATAAAATCGGAAGAAAATATGGATGAATTTGCATTTTGTAAAAAAGAACATAAAATCGGAAGAAAATATGGATCAATTTGCATTTTTGTAAAAAAAAAAACATGGATGAAAATACAAAAAGAACATAAAATCGGAAGAAAATATGGATGAATTTGCATTTTGTACAAAAAGAACATAAAATATGAAAGAAGAAAATATGGATGAATTTGCATTTTGTACAAAAAAACAGAAAAATCGGAAGAAAATATGGATGAATTTGCATTTTGTACAAAAGAACATAAAATCGGAAGAAAATATGGATGAATTTGCATTTTTTGTACAAAAGAACATAAAATCGGAAGAAAATATGGATCAATTTGCATTTTGTACAAAAAAAACAAAATCAAAAGAAAATATGAATGAATTTGCATTTTTGTACAAAAAGGCCATGAAATCGGAAGAAAATATGGATGAAATTTGTACAAAAAGAATAGAAAATCGGAAGAAAATATGGATGAATTTGCATTTTTGTACAAAAAAGAACATAAAATCGGAAGAAAATATGGATGAATTTGCATTTGTACAAAAAGAACATAAAATCGGAAGAAAAAAATTTATGTAAAAAAAAGATAAAATCGGAAGAAAATATTGATGAATTTGCATTTTGTACTAAAAAAAATAAAACATAAAATCGGAAGAAAATATGGATCAATTTGCATTTTGTAAAAAAAAGAACATAAAATCGGAAGAAAATATGGATGAATTTGCATTTTGTACAAAAAACATAAAATCGGAAGAAAATATGGATCAATTTGCATTTTAAAAAAGAACATAAAACGGAAGAAAAAAAGAACATAAAATCGGAAGAAAATATGGATCAATTTGCATTTTGTATGAAAAAAAGAACAATAAAAAATCGGAAGAAAATATGGATGAATTTGCATTTTGTACAAAAAGAACATAAAATCGGAAGAAAATATGGATGAATTTGCATTTTTACAAAAAGAACATTTTGAAGAAAAAAAAGAAATTTAAAATCAAAAGAAAAATATGGATGAATTTGCATAAAATCGGAAGAAAATAAAAGAACATAAAATAAAAAAGAAAAAAATGGAAGAAAATTTGCATTTTGTACAAAAAAACATAAAATCGGAAGAAAATATGGATGAATTTGCATTTTGTACAAAAGAAAGAAAAAAAAAATGAATTTGCATTTTCAAAAGAACAAAAATCGGATGAAAATATGGATGAATTTGCATTTTGTACAAAAAGAACATAAAAAATCGGAAGAAAATATGGATGAATTTGCATTTTTGTACAAAAAGAACATAAAATCGGAAGAAAATATGGATGAATTTGCATTTTGTAAAAAAAAAAGAAACATAAAATCGGAAGAAAATACAAAATCGGAAGAAAATTTGCATTTTGTACAAAAAGAACATACAAAAATCGGAAGAAAATATGGATGAATTTGCATTTTGTACAAAAAAGAACATAAAATCGGAAGAAAATATGGATCAATTTGCATTTTGTACAAAAAGAACATAAAATCGGAAGAAAATATGGATGAATTTGCATTTTGTACAAAAAGAAAATAAAATCATAAAAGAAAATATGGATCAATTTGCATTTTGTACAATTGCAAAAAAAACAAAATCAAAAAGAAAATATGAATGAATTTGCATTTGTACAAAAAAAGAAAATCGGAAGAAAAAGATGAATTGCATAAAATCATAAAATCGGAAGAAAATATGGATGAATTTGCATTTTGTACAAAAAGAACATAAAATCGGAAGAAAAATGGAAAATTTTAACAAAAAAGAAAATTTGCATTTTGTACAAAAGAAGATAAAATCGGAAGAAAATATGAATGAATTTGCATTTTGTACAAAAAGAACATAAAATCGGAAGAAAATATGGATGAATTTGCATTTTGTACAAAAAGAACATAAAATCGGAAGAAAATATGGATCAATTTGCATTTTGTACATAAAAAAATAAAATCGGAAGAAAATATGAATGAATTTGCATTTTGTACAAAAAGAACATAAAATCGGAAGAATGGAAAATATTGATGAATTTGCATTTTGTACAAAAGAACATAAAATCGGAAGAAAATATGGAAAATATGGATCAATTTGCATTTTGTATAAAAAAAAAAATAAAATCAAAACATAAATATAAAAATGAAAAATGAATTTGCATTTTGTAAAAAAAGCCATGGAAATTTCATTTTGTACAAAAGAAAATAAAATGGATGAATTTGCATTTTGTACAAAAGAACATAAAATCGGAAGAAAATATGGATCAATTTGCATTTTGTACAAAAGAACATAAAATCGGAAGAAAATATGGATGAATTTGCATTTTGTACAAAAGAACATAAAATCGGAAGAAAATATGGATCAATTTGCATTTTGTACAAAAGAACATAAAATCGGAAGAAAATATGGATGAATTTGCATTTTTACAAAAGTATAAAAAAGAACATAAAATCGGAAGAAAATATGGATCAATTTGCATTTTGTACAAAAAGAACATAAAATCGGAAGAAAATATGGATGAATTTGCATTTTGTACAAAAGAACATAAAATCGGAAGAAAATATGGATCAATTTGCATTTTGTACAAAAAGAACATAAAATCGGAAGAAAAATCAATGAATTGCATTTTGTACAAAAGAACATAAAATCGGAAGAAAATATGGATCAATTTGCATTTTGTACAAAAGAACATAAAATCGGAAGAAAATATGGATCAATTTGCATTTTGTACAAAAAGAACATAAAATCGGAAGAAAATATGGATCAATTTGCATTTTGTACAAAAAGAACATAAAATCGGAAGAAAATATGGATCAATTTGCATTTTGTACAAAAAGAACATAAAATCGGAAAAAATAAAATTTGCATTTTGTACAAAAAAACAAAATCAAATGAAAAATGAATTTGCATTTTGTACAAAAGAACATAAAATCGGAAGAAAAAATATGGATGAATTGCATTTTGTACAAAAGAACATAAAATCGGAAGAAAATATGGATCAATTTGCATTTTGTACAAAAGAACATAAAATCGGAAGAAAAAAGAACAAAATAAAATCGGAAGAAAATATGGATGAATTTGCATTTTTGTACAAAAAAAACATAAAATCGGAAGAAAATATGGATCAATTTGCATTTTGTACAAAAACATAAAATCGGAAGAAAATATGAATTTGCATTTTGTACAAAAGAACATAAAATCGGAAGAAAATATGGATGAATTTGCATTTTGTACAAAAGAACATAAAATCGGAAGAAAATATGGATGAATTTGCATTTTGTACAAAAAGAACATAAAATCGGAAAATATGGATGAATTTGCATTTTTGTACAAAAAGAACATAAAATCGGAAGAAAATATGGATGAATTTGCATTTTGTACAAAAAGAACATAAAAATCGGAAGAAAATATGGATGAATTTGCATTTTGTACAAAAGAACATAAAATCGGAAGAAAATATGGATCAATTTGCATGAATTTACAAAAAGAACATAAAATCGGGAAGAAAATATGGATGAATTTGCATTTTGTACAAAAGAACATAAAATCGGAAGAAAATATGGATCAATTTGCATTTTTTACAAAAGAACATAAAATCGGAAGAAAAAAAAACAAAAAACAAAAAGAAGAAAATATGAATGAATTTACAAAAGAACATAAATCATTTTTGTACAAAAAGCCATGAAATCGGAAGAAAATATGGATGAATATGCATTTTGTACAAAAAAACATAAAATCGGAAGAAAATATACATAAATTTCTACAAAAGAAAATAAAATGGAAGAAATTTGCATTTGTTGCAAAAAGAACATAAAATCGGAAGAAAATATGGATGAATTTGCATTTTGTACAAAAAAAAACAAAATCAAAAGAAAATATGAATGAATTTGCATTTTGTACAAAAGGCCATGAAATCGGAAGAAAATATGGATGAATTTGCATTTTGTACAAAAGGCCATGAAATCGGAAGAAAATATGGATGAATTTGCATTTTGTACAAAAGAACATAAAATCGGAAGAAAATATGGATGAATTTGCATTTTGTACAAAAGAACATAAAATCGGAAGAAAATATGGATGAATTTGCATTTTGTACAAAAGAACATAAAATCGGAAGAAAATATGGATCAATTTGCATTTTGTACAAAAAAACACAAAATCAAAAGAAAATATGAATGAATTTGCCTTTTGTACAAAAGCCATGAAATCGGAAGAAAATATGGATGAATATGCATTTTGTACAAAAGAACATGAAATCGGAAGAAATATTGATGAATTTGCATTTGTACAAAAGTACAGAAAATCGGAAGAAAATATGGACGATTTTGTATTTTTTACAAAAGAATAAAAAAATCGGAAGAAAATATGAATGAATTTTCATTTTGCACAAAAGAACATAAAATTGGAAGTAAATATGGAAGGTTTTGCATTTTTTACAAAAGAACATAAAATAGGAAGAAAATATGAATTAATTTGCATATTCTCCAAAAGTATATAAAATCCGAAGAAAATATGGATGATTTTGCGTTCTGTACAAAAGAACATGAAATCGGAAGAAAATATGGATGAATTTGCATTTTGTACAAATGAACTCAAAATGGGAAGAAAATAAGGATGAATTTTCATTCACTATAAAAAGAACATGAAATCGGAAGAAAATATGGATGAATTTGCATTTTGTACAAAAGAAAAAAAATCGGAGGAAAATATGGATGTTTGCTTTTTTTACAAAAGAATATAAAATAGGAAGAAAATATGAATTAATTTGCCTCTTCTACAAAAGTATATAAAATCCGGAAGAAAATAAGGATGAATTCGCATTCTCTACAAAAGAACATAAAATCGGAAGAAAATATGGATCAATTTGCATTTTGACCAAAAGAACAAGAAGTCGGAAAAAAATATGGATGAATTTGCATTTTGTATATAAGAACATGAAATCGGAATAAAATAAGGACGAATTTATATTTTGTACAAAAGACCATGAAATCGGAAGAAAAATTATATGAATTTGCATTTTGTACACAAGAACATCAAATCGGAAGAAAATATGGATGAATTTGGATTTTGTACAAAAGAACATAAAATCGGAAGAAAATATGGATGAATTTGCATTTTTTACAAAAGAACAAAAAATCGTTAGAGAATATAGATGAATTTGTATTTTGTACAAAAGAATATAAAATCCGAAGAAAATATCGATGATTTTGCATTTTGTACAAAAGAACATGAAATCGGA